TTTTCAATGAAAGAAACTACATTTTGCCGAAAAACTGACAACTTCACTTATTTTTCACCCCTATACTTCCAACGTGAATAGAGAATTGTGTCATCATTTCAGTAGTGTGTATATATCAGCCATTCAGGTTGGCTTATCTGAACAAAGGGCATGTTTGTGTTTCACCAATAGGCAACTCTTTAAGAATAAGACTCGTACCAGGCCCCCGACATGCAAAATAACGCCTTGCAGCTTTGAATGTTTATGAAATCGAAGGTGCAAAGGATTTTTAGGCTTTTTCCAAGGTAAATCATCTTAAAAATGGTGTATTTATACAGGAATTCCAAAGAAACTTGTTGATTCATGTTTTAGTTCTTTTGTGAATTATGTGATTTTTCATGAATTGTGCGATTGGGTGCGATTTGAGGTCGATTGTGCGAAATCGCACAATCACGTAATATCAGAAGGTCTGTTCAGACATTTAAGTCTGTGGATGAAACCCTAGCGTGTGACCATTCAAATGAAAGCTATTGCACTGTACTTCCATGTGGTACTGTTTATTATGCTGTACGAGGTGATTCTAGCGTTTAGTGTGTGGCTAGATCTTGAGTGGCCTAATATGAGCTACTGAGCAGTACTCTTGCATGGTACTGCTGAACTGTGCTGCTCAGTGTTTGTTATTCACTCTTGCGAATGAAAGGTATATTAACTTATTAAGTCATCAATTGAAACTAACTGCTAATCCGCGAATTCCCTGAGCACCAGGTGCACCAGGCTCTCCAGGCAGACCCTGTTGACGAAGAAAAGAGACTTTCAATGATTAATCATGACCTAACTTGGCTACAAAAGCAAATTGACAAAATATTTACACAGCTAAAAATGATTGAAGTGGTTAAAAAGTAGAACACCAAACATTTTTGTTTTCTTCAGGGTGAAAAAGCCGTCTGGCCATTACTCACATAATTTATAACCATTGGGCAATTCCCTATTGGAACAGTTTAATAGCCATGTAACAGTGAATTTGTTTGTTCAAACTGGGTTGTCATTGTTGGATCATTAGGCCATCTAGGATTCTTCGCAACTGAATTTTAAGCAAATTGACCGTGTGGCATTTGTTCTTGTACATTAAGGGACAGATACTTACCTGTACATGTACTATCTTATGTTGACAAAAATTACTATTAAATAAATTGCATCCCTACATCGTTTTGTATAAAATGGAGAAAATAAAAAGTATACAGCCATACCGGAGGGCCATCCTTTCCAGGTGGACCTTTCTCACCTCTCCGTCCCTGTAGGAAAATATCAAGACTGTTCATGAGCATTGTAATATCAGATTATTTAGTTCTTGGTGATAGCGATCAGTATGAGCATAGCAAATGTGTGTGAGAAAAAACTTTTTAACTAATAATTAAAAATAACTCTTGAAGGCATAATTAATCTAAATTGCATGAACCCCTTTCCCTCTGAGAAGTGAGATCTCGTTTACATAAAACAGAAGAAATAAATAAAAGTGTGTGAACATTCAAATGAAAGCTATGGAGCAGTAAGTAGAGTATGTTTAAATTATGGAGCTATACAATTCAAGGTGGTTCTAACTTGTAAGTCTGTGGCTAAAACCCTAGTGTGTGACCATTCAAATGAAAGCTATTGACCAGTACTTTCATGTGGTACTGTTAATTATGCTGTACAAGGTGGTTCTAACTTTTAAGTCTGTGGCTAAAACCATAGTGTATGACCATTCAAATG